AAGACACGTTCCTCGTATCGTAATCTGTAGAACGAGAGCTTCTGGGACATCCTATTACATTTTGTTGGTACGGCGCTTCTCGATAGAGACGTGTTAAGAGACGTGCAGGTTTTCACCTGTCTGTGAAAGTGAACTAATTACTGATTTTCGAGGCGATTGAATTGTACGGTTGTACATCGCAGCCGTGATGATAATAAACGCATCGATAAATAATATTCCAAAGAATAGGGTTCCACTTGCCTGATCCTGTATTTTCGCATGGACAACTTTACGTAGCTTTCTTAAGAGAAAAAAGCTTTTCTAATATTTTTGTGACCATCAAGGAAAGCGAAAAGCTAACTGTCAAGCAAGGTTGTCTAATTACTTCAAATGTTGTTTTAAGTAATTAGAAGTAAGTTTGTAAGTATTATGGCGGTGAATTGTTCCAAGAAAATCTCACAATAACTGAATATTCCTATATTCAAAATTTGTTTCAAACGTGAACATTGTTGTTTTTTCTTTTCATTTGACATTCTATAAATACATTGGAAGTAACCTAATACTTTATTAAACAAATAAATACGTTTTATAACAACTTTCCCTCTTGATATGGAAATGCAAGGTAGTGAAGAGGGTGGATTTTAACGCGTGAGAGTCTCGCACGGGTACGCTAGTCCTCTTTATTTCCCTTCCTTCTACGAACATATTTATAAAATCCTGTCCAGTTGCTTCCGTCTCCATCTAGTATATTCTTTAAATGATCCTTCTGAGCAACTTTTTTAAAATAATGCTTCTGAATTAATTTTGCATTGTAGATTTCTGGATTCGGATTATTTTTTAGAATTTTGTACGGAATAAACTTTTGCAAAACTTCGTATATCTTTTAACGCGCCCCATATTTCTTCCATGCTTCCCTCTCTTCTCAGAAAGCGGTTGCGTATGATTGTAAATATTGCGTATATTTTGATTAAATAAATTATTTCTATTACAAATTTCCTAGCACTTTTATTATTTCGAATGGCGAAAAATAGGTGCTTCTCACAAAACATTTCGTGAGTCCAAGATGCGATAAAAATAGTTTATTTTTCAACATTACTTGTAATCTATGGAAGCATAGTCGGCAAAGGGAAATCTTTAGGCAATTGTCCATGAAAAACGATTTTCTTCGTAATATCACTTTTCTGTTATTATAAAAGTGAATCTGTTGTCATCATAATGTCGGTACCATTAGCAAAATGTTTCTTTGTTTTTTTGGACAATAGAACAAGTTTTATTCCTAATGTATAATAAACACTGAAATAAATGCATAGAACTGTTGCAGCTATTTTCAAAGTGTACGTGGTTTAAAATGATAAAAATGTTCTTTTATTTTTTAACTACAGCTCAGCAACCCAAAAAATCTGAAAAATTCAGTTTTTTAAAGAAGAATGTTGGAGATTTATGAAGCCTATACCCGGGTTCTAAGACAGTAAAAAATATTTTTCGTTATTTTTTTAAAAAACTACAAAAACTTTCCGTTTCAATTTGACGCTGAGAAAATATTTAAAAAATGTTTTTCTGATAGTAAAAATATTTAGTTATTTTTCATCTTTTTTCAATGAGATAAAATAGTATTAAGTTGACAAATAATTAAAATTAAAAAATACAAGTGTATGAGGGTGTGGAGTGGTAGGACGGAGGCTAATAAATCTTTCAAAAAATCTCATGTTTAATTTAGAATTATAGTGTAACTACTCATATTTAGTTTTACTGCCAGTTGGTTTAGGAGGTCTTTTTACCATCTAGTGCGGGGGGACCATTCGCCTCCCCCCCCCCTCTCCTCATAGAAGATCCCGGGAATCCCGCCTCTGGATGCAGTATTTTTTGCTTTTCACTATTTCAGCGCACGCAGGACACTACATATGAAAGAAAACTTGAGACTGACTGCTGCTTAAGATCGCCGAAGGTGACTACCGATTCGGATCTAAGTCAGATCCATGGCACGCTGTTGGTAGACATTGCGAAAGGGAGAGTGGGACGACGACGTGGAGGTGTCATTGAAGGGTTTTCTGAAGGTTTCACCACGGTAGGAGGATGGTATGGATGATGGAGGGAACAAATTCGATGTCGAAAAAGGTAAATGTTCATAAAAAGTCCAAGTAAAATCGTTTTTGTCAAGATAACTTAACGTGCTAGAATTTTTTCATTATTGTTTACTTCCTTGCTGCCACTTACCGGGCAACGAAAAAGTGTATAAATCCAGTTGCTAAATTTAGAAAAAAATCTCTAACAGTTGGCGTAGCCAGAATCCATGTATTGTGGGTCCTGCCTATCGAAAAATCGATGGACAACAAAGCGTCTGTCCGTCCGTCTGTGAACAACACTAGCGCAACACTAGCGTTCACCCGATTTTCTTCAAAATCGATAATCGTCAATTCATCTTTCTGATGTCTCGTTTCCTTATATTTGTAATCGATATTTTAGTTTTGGAGAGTACTTTAAATGAGCTCCTAGGACATTTTCAAAGTTTTTAAAAAATGGCTCCAACATATTTGATTAAACTTTGGTATTGAACAGTGTGAAGAACGTTTAAGAAAATGATGCAGGACTCATGTTCGTTGAAAACTCTGATTTTGCGAAAACTGAAAAAGTTCAAATATTTTTCGGTGTCTTCTTACAACTACAATTATAAAGATAAACATTGTATTCTTAATTAAATGTGTTCTTGAAAAACATATCTAAAAATAATGACATGTTCAATTTTTCAAAAATCCCTTCGGCCAGACGTCGTTAGATCCCGGGGTTCCTAGCCGGTCACCCAACCAGGAACCTGCAAGTCTCAAATACGTTTAAGCTCCGTTACTTCATGCAGCGTAGTGAATGAATTCGGCTTATGACGTCGACACAATATTCTAGTTCCTTCTTCCACAGCATAATGTAAAATATAAATCATTCATAATATGCACAATAAAAACTGAAATTGATTTCTCTATAAGTATAATCATAACACTACCTCACACAATGTACGTAATAAATGTTCTCCAAAAGACCCATAGAATGTTCTGGGGGTGAAATAGCATTTATTTATTTATTTACGCCAAAAACAGTAAAAAACTGTTTGTGACGTGCTATGGGGAGAAGTTAATTTGAAGTTACATTTATGTCCAGAAGCAAAACAAGGGGTTCTCAGCATTTACTCGAGGATCAGGGAAACTGGAAGAAAACCTGATCGAGATGGAGGTCATTGACCCAGACGCTGAAGTACAATACTTGTTACAGATTCTTTACAATTACACAATCCAGATGGTACAAGTATTGGTACAGATGGTATATTGTATATAATACATTAAATGTGTTACTTTCCTTAGGGTGCTCTATGGATGCATGTGTCTATTGGACCCAGCGCGCCTAATCGCATCCAAAAAATGGCGAGCCTAACGAAGGGCTAAAAAAGTACAAAAAATAAATGTATTAAAAATATAAAAGAAAAATATGCGTTCTTCGTGGATGTATGGGGCATAAACCTATTGAAAATTTATTTTGGATCAATAATTATATTACAAAATGTACTTCATTTGCTTTTTACTGTATTATACTTCTAGATGCTTTTTTATTATTATTATTATTATTATTATTATCATTATTATTACTATTATTATTAATGATGATAATATATATATATATATATATATATATATATATATATATATATATATATATTGAGTCACTTATACAATTACAATTGTGTATGACGAGTCAATATTATGATTTGGGTGGAGAGAGCGAAGTTACATTACTGATCAGGAGCAAAACAAGGGACCATCTCAGCATTTGCTTAAGGGGGCAGGAAAACTGAACAAAACCTGATCGAGATGGGGTCATTGGCCTATGAATTATACAATACTTGCTACAGATAGATTAGGATATTACACAGTAGATAATTATTTTTAGTAGCAGATAATTTAATAATTCAATATGAACAATGCTTGAATAGCTAAGGAAATTTGTATGTTTTTTGTGTCCATGTTAATTAATATTAAACAATTTCTGAACTTCAAAAAATAACAATGAAATATTAGCTCGTTTCTTGCGCCCAATTCGCATCTTCCCCTCACTGGGAATTTGTCGAGTCCGAGAAAGACGATGCGTTTCTCAATCCGTTCTGAAAGCTATTCGCTTGCCCCAAGTGCTCACTCTAAACCTCCCTTTCCCACCCTAAGTGTCACTCTTCCCACGAAAACTTACGTAGCAGCTGGCAGCGGAGATCCGAGCACTCGCACTAGTCTGAAGACAATTGACAGGTGGCATTTATGATTTCAGAGCGAGTAGCAGGTTGACGCATTGAGCAATAAAATAAATATTTACTTGACTCCTATATTTGAAGTTATTACAATGAAGCAGTGAACTTGATATTTTACCAATAAATAAATGTAATATATAATTCTTGAACGGCGGGTTTGTTTTTAATGTTTTGAGGCCCACGGCGCCCGCTGGATTCGCCCATGCTTTAAAGCGGTACTGTATGTAGTATGTTTCAATGACTAGTAACAAGACGATGATCTTTTGGAACCTGGCTCATTTCAAATTCCCGCTAATATTGTGACGCAAAATGACCTTTGTCAATCATAATGATTCTAGAGAGTGCCCGCCAGGGCCCGGCAACTCTCTATCAAAACTGTGGACAAAGCTCGAGGTTGCTACTATAGGAAGCGCTAGTGTCGCCAGGTGCAGCTGCAGGTTAGGCTCGCCAACTTTCCCACATACAAATTGGCTAATTTGTGAGAAATACGAAAAGTGTCTTATAAATGTACTATTATTCATAATCTATACTTATAAGAAACCTCTGAATAATGCGCGAATATAGACGTTATCTTTTGTAACATTATGGGCCTGCTTGCGACCCGCGAACTCACACAGAAGCCGCGTACGTTTAAAGTATCGTTGGTAGCAGTTCGTGTTTTAGTTCCTGTAAAGAAGGCGATGCAGCAGAGCGCGCCACCATAATGGTCTCCACCACGTTATATGGGAGTTATAGGGCCCTGGTGCCCGCCCGGTGTATAGTATCCGAGTGGCAGCAACCGGCAGTGGCGGAATTCCATGTGCTGAATTATAAAAATTACAAATTATATTTGCCGAATTTGTTATTCTCAGATATTTGACAGATATGTTTTTTAGGATACACTTTTCTTGAATTACGGAATCAAAAGTATGACTTGTGTGCGCACGAGTAAATTTGTATTCGAGCGGTCTTTCTTGGAGGTTATGTGAGAATAATATCCCTATCGAATTGTGTATCCGTTTATTGAACAATGTCTGTCCTTCGTATGCGGTGTCATTGTGTTAAATTCATTAGAAGATTTAGCGTTCTTCCAGAATATACAGAAAAACCAGAGTATCCACCAATATTGGATCTCTCGCGAGATGCAGTGAAAAAAAGAAATGATGAAGTTTGGCATAATAAAATTAAAAATCTCGAAATTTTAGAAGAAAAATTGATGGAGGTGAATATGCCAAGGTATTATGGATGGCCATGTATAGGATTGTTTGAGGGCAAAGTGCCATACGGAAGTTTACAATTTGCCCAGTATATTACAAGAACATTTATAGTCACTCAACAGGAGTTGCCCATGCTTTACCAAGCTGCTGGAATTGTAGATTTATGTGCCCCTATTTTGGATCATGTAAAGAATTCAATTAAAGAAGCAATTGTCTTGGAACATGCAGTAGAAAGGTATTAACTTCAACAAGTTATTTAATTTTTAGTAACATTGTTTATTTGTACTTTTTTATAATTGTCTTATTGAACTTCATTGATTTTAATTTTTATTTCTACCTTAAATATAAAATATTTTTCCTAACTTCAGGAGTCCTTCTGGAGAATTAAAAGATAATGGCGATGATGTTAATGAGCTTGGGGATGCTATAGTACATCAAATAAATCGTGTTATCATAAGTTCTTTGTCTGCTGATTTTCCTCATCTTCAAACTTGCCAGGTGTAGTAGAATACATTTGCCATTTAAAGTTGATTACTGGGTAAAATATGATTACTTACTACTAATAAGATTTAAGTAGGTTTATTATGAAATATTCATAACCACATTCAAAATTGGATTGTTCAATTTACGTTTTTAAGGTTTAAAATATAGACTACTGCATTATCAATCAGTGGTTTGTTTCATTCAAAACTGATGTGCAGTCTTTTGAGGGCAAATTCTATACTCCAGAAAACTTATTTGTACTGCAACCTTTAGAGAAAGGTATTCCATAGATTTTAATGTAAACAGATCACAAGAATTTTTTATGTAAAAATTCAATTCATATTTTTGAAGTGAAACGAAATCCTACAGTATTTGCAATTATTTTCCATGGTTTTTGTCAATTTTTAGCTAATCAGCCGTATACTGTATTTTCATAATGAATACAGTACATTTGCTTCAACAAACATTTACATTCAACCTATAAAAATGTCTGTTTTGTAGGTTGACCACTTTCCTCGAATAGAATCTTTCTGGATAGTGGGAGGTATAGATCCTCCAAAAAGACTAGAAAAAATACGAAAAACGTCTAATAATGGAGACCTAGGCAAACCAGTGGATGTGAAATTCCAGTACCTAGGTCGTCCAATAGCACAATTGCGACATGAACTTCCCCTTCAACCAGCAGCAATTGAATCAGAAATTCAGAAGATAGAAAGCAATGTACCTGAGTTTCATTACGATCCTCGTGTTTTGGGTGTAGATAAACTGCAACGACATGTTACCAATATTCCAGGTAGATTTTTGTTGTGTACATACTGGTATTGTGTGTATATGATTAATCTACTATATTTATAAGAATTATTTCAGTAAAACATTCAAAGAACAATATCTCTAAACGTCTCTTGTGTTTTGGTACAGGTTTTTGGCCAGGAGATAAGTCTGAGTTCCCGTTGATGTCCTTTCATTCTAGCAAATACCTTGCTAATCGGTCATCTTATGATGATTCCGAGGCTGCACCTTATGTTCATGCTGTGCTTGCCTCATTTGCATGGCTTCAGGCTCTTGCGTGTTATAAAGGTAACTTTTACTTACATTTAAGCATGATTGCTTTTTGTTGAATCCTTTGCACTTGCATGGCATGTTTGGGATGGTATCTAGAAATGATTTCCCAGCTCATGCACCTGCAGGGAATGTGCTGTCCTACAGATCGGAGGGTGTCTCTGAGATGACATACAAAAATGGCTTGATTCAGAGGGTTTGTGCACTTTCAACTTCCATCAGCTTGGGCATTGTTTTGAGCAGATGTGTTGCATTTTATTCAACTGGCATTGTATTTTCAGCAGTACTGAACTCGTTCGTTATTATTATTTTTGCTATAACTTGAGTATAAACTATATATTCAAATAATATATTCAGAAAATGGCAATATATTTTCTTTAATTTTGAAATTTTGAAAATTCCAAATTGATCTACTTTTTTAGTTTTATTGATAGAAAAATTGCAGAAATAAACAACAAATTGCAATGAAAGAAAAAAATTATTTTACTTTTAATACAAAGGTCAATGTATACATAAATCAGTTTTCCGTTCATATTCGAATAATATTTTGAGTGTTATGTATTGTGCATAATACAAAAAGCTTCATTAATGATGGGAACAATCCATTGGAAATGTACAACGAGGAACAGTTCCGAAAGTCGTTTCTTTTTAAGAGAAGAACTATAGTGATTTCATTTGACCCACTGATTGGGGGGGGGAATGGTCTATTGATTTCTCCATTCCTGAAAATTCTTGTTTCATTAAGATTTTATGCAACTTTATTCTTTCAGGCATTTCCTAAATGTTTTAACTTGATACATAATTTGTTAAGGTTATTAATTGTAAATAATTTTGAATATGCAAGATGAATAAAAAGTCAAGCAATTTGAATTAGATGTTGTGAAATGGAATTTATTATATGGGATTGACATTGTCTATTATCAGATATGTTGCTAATAATTTCCGATCAATATAGACAGACCCACGTTCCTACCATTTACATTAGAGTATTCGTTGACATTGTGAAATAAATTGGAACTGATGTTAAGTATTATATTATCACCAAATAATGTGCTAAATAAAACATGTAGGTGCTCATAAATACTAACATAATATAGATAATGCACAAGACTGATATTCATAGAAATTATATGAGAATAAATTATTACATAGTTACAAAACATTACTTACTATTAGTGATGGGTAGCAAATACATTTGTAAAATGTGATAATGATGACAAAACACCTCTTCTGTATGAAGATATATTAGCGGTAGAAAATATTATGAATTAAACAGGTTTTAAATATTTGATTTCAAACACACATGTTACAATAACATACCATTTCCATATATGATAGAAGTTGGTTGAGCTTGCAAATGGCTGCAGCGCTCACCATCAACTCAACTTTCATATTGCGCATGCACTATACATTTTGGAAGATCTTTGTACAAATATTGTAGAGATTATTCAGATGGCAAGAACCATGAAACAGCTACCACCAATGTTGCCATATTTCCCTTTCGATTAAGGGGACACCCAGTCCATGGTTGTTAGGAACGTCTCTGAAATATGAGCACCTTTAAGTGAACACTTATTTTCAGAAAACGCTTATCACTTTAAGGTTCCCATATTCTTTAAGTGTCAACTATGAATTCTGGCCATATTATAGATTGTACAAATACAGGAAAAGTGCAGATTTTTCAACAAAAGAAACTGGTTCTGTTGCTCTTTCTTACCAAAACATTTGGATTTTCTTACTCTTATCTAGCTTTGCCTGGGTATTAATTTCTCACGTTGTCCATTAAGCAGCCTTGCCCACCCTACCCCTCCCACATCCATACCCCCTCATACCCTACTGGCTTGCCATGGCTATCCTAATTACCAATTCCGTCCTATTCCCACACATCCAGTCCCTTCTGCTGTATCTACTCCTCCACTCATCACACTTCATCCATATCTCCTGCGTGCCCTGTCTGGCATGTCGTAGCTGTTCTGCCAATACCTCTTGCCCTGCCCATCGAGTTCGTTCCTCCTGCTTCTTTCGTCTTTCGACCACACCTATTCCATCTGCAGGGCCTGCTTTTTCATTGACATCTGTCCGCTGTGTCACTTCTTCCCTTTTCACTAGTTCCACCTATCTCATTCTCTTGGTTTATTCTGCTTCAACCATTCCTTACTGTCTTTTCACTGCACCCGCTCTTTAGGGGATTACCTTTAACTGAATATTAAAAAACATTTTGAAGTAACAGTTTTTAATTGCAACCACATTTTCATTCTTGGCCCCTCCAAAATATTCTTACAAAATGTGGGAGCAATCCCTACAGAGGTTCTAAACATTTTTGTTGCACATTCACTCACTTTTATGTAACAGGACTAAGTTGGTCCCATGGGTTGTGTCTACAATGTGTTTATATTTCAGGTTACGAGGTTAAGTAGTGTAGTAGTAATGGGCTTAAATCAGGTTGTACACACAAACAACAAATGATACGACTTGAGATTCGTTTTAGGAATTGAGTAAGTAAAGTGAAAAAGTATTTAAAGGCAGGAAATTTGAAAATCACTGGTAGATTCTCAGATTTATTTATCTGTTTTGAAGACTTTTTCTAATACTTTCTACTGTCAGAAGCAACATTTTGTGGGTTCTTATTACTAAAAAGGTTGTTTTCAGTAATCCATCTGTATGTGAACTATGCTATACCATTCATAGGATTTTCTAGAAAATTGATAATCCCTCATCAACCTGTTTGTTGTCATGGTCCCTTGATTTTGAAACTTGATATTTTGATGTTTGGGGATTCTTTACATAAGTCCCAAACGACATTTTCAAAACTTTCCGAAAAATGCCTCCAAGCCTATTGCTCAAAGAGAGCAATGTACCCTTATAAAAATGGGGTAGATCAGATTTTCATAAAAAAGTGTCTGAATTTTTAAAAAATCGCTAAAGTTATGAATTTTCACCCTTCTCTGCGAAGAACGTCTTGAAACTTCTTTGTATGAAATATGTTATTCAAAATTAGATCTGTAAGTAATGTCGTGAACAGTATTTTCAAAATTGGGCTAATTTTGAATGAATTAAAGGCAATTTTTTTTTTTTAAATTACACATTCATTTCTCAAAAATATATTCAAACTGTTGCTTGAAATATTTGCTAAAAAGAAAAGGGTTAAATTTCCACCCCCCATTTTTCTTTTCTTCTTCCCTCCTCCCCCCTCTCTATCTCCATCTCCTCACTAAACTATTTAACAATTTCGCACTGAAGCTCACTTGCTAGTCCGCTGACATTCGTGGTGAGAGCGCGCGGACGTCGCGCCCTGGAAACTAACCATGACCCTCACCTTGTGCACAAACCTTCCTAAACCAGTAGTCTTTATCATCATGATTAAATGATTGTATGATTATTGATGTTTCTGTAAGTCCGTTGTGGTGATTCAAATGAGATTGTGAGTCGGTTGCTTTCATTAAATAGCGTTGATACGTCAACTTTTATTTACTAAATAAAACAGTATTGCGCAATAACTAGGCGTGATGAACCAAAACTAACGTTTTCGGATTCATGACGCATAATTTCCATAAGGATCCCTTCTTTCGCTTTATCGCAGAATCATTGTTGGCCAGTGTACTCAATGTGGCCGAGCTCCCAGTGCCCAAGTCACCTTACGTCCGACCATCGTGTGTTAAAATCTGCGAAGTACGTGCTCGGGCGCACACCAACTCTCCTCTATGGTGCATCCACGCTCTGGGTGTGAATAGCGGTTCCCCTAGAGCGAGGACTTACGTTCGCTGCTGGGCGAGACGATTTCCCGCCATCGGCCACCGCTGAGCGTGAGTGAGTACCGTCACCTCGCCACCATCTCTCAATTGCTGGCTGTGACGGGTTACCGCCACGTCGTCACCGCTAAGGGAATTGATTTCCCGTAATTGCGTGAATGTCACCTAAGCCCATCCGACCATCAGACGTTTGACTTTTCTAAGACACCAAGAGCCTTTCTGGAAAGGCCGCTAGTGTTTTAAAGCGTCGGCGCTGCGGCCTGCTTCTTGTAGCTAAATGTTACGCCACTCACCGTTGGCGCGCACCATTCCTCGACTGGCTTCTACTTGGAAATATACCAACAAGCTAGTATTATCCGCGCAAGTTTTCTTGAGCCCTCACTTCGCTAGTTGCGAGAGGAGTGGGGAGTTGAGTTATTTTGACGAAAGGATTTTTGCAACAAAGTTGTTGTTCCTTTTTGGATGCAAAATAGTTTTTATTACACGGAAACAAACATTCTGGTTATACGATTTTATTTTCAACGTTCGTTGCTATTATTTATTATTAATTCAACTAATGTTGGCAAAGGAGTGGGGGTAGGTATTCCGGATTTCAAGAAAACTTACGCATATAATATATACTACATGGAGTGGCTGTCCCTATAGTTTGAGCGCTCTTGGCGGAGGCTCACCGAACTTGTGGCCGCCATGTTTTTTGAAGTCGAAACATACAAGGGGCGGTGTAGCCGTCCGTAATCACTGCCAAACAATGCTGTGGCGCTTCCGAGTTTAAGAATGAAGTACCATAAGATGGCGACAGTGATGCCAAACGTGGCGCATTTCTGCTGTATCGTACTGTATGAATCGAGAGTTAAGGGCTCGATGGTGACGCCGAGTAGCAATAGGGCGGAACGTAAGTTTAGCGCTCAGTATTTTATCTCGAACCTTTCCAATTATCTGAAATCGCATTTTTCTCCCTTCCTCATATCTAAAGCTATTCCTAAGAGACTCCAATGCATAGGAATGTTTCTGTTCAGCTTCTCATGTCCTTTGTGCTTCGAAATGTCATAAGAAATTAGGCAGAAATTGTAATTTTAAAGTGCACAAACATTTCATTAAAATATCCAAAATTCAAACCGATTACGTGCAGTTGCAAAAAGCCAAGCGTTGTGTTTCATTTTTAACAGTAGTTAACTAAAAAAAAGTTTTGATTGACGAAAAAAAAAATAAATTGCTTTGATGATAAAAGAAGTCGGCCCTATGGAACAAACTGATTTGATTCACGGGAAATTGAGCTGCCTCGTGCCAGATAAGCGGACAGTTAACTACCGGCAGGGATTGCGCGCGAATCCTGTTGGAAAATACAGGTGCGCCAGAGAAACTTACTTATTTGAAAAAAATCCCGTGAGTTGGGTGGTTAGAGGGGCGAGAGGGGGCGTATCTGGAGGGGGAAGTTCCCAAGTTTTTTTCTCCTTCCAGTCAGTTGCCATCATGCTGTGGACTAGAGAGCAGCGGGCCTTCGCAGTCGAGAGCTTCTTTTCTAACGGTCGCTCACTTGTTGCTACGCAACGTGCCTTCCGCGCTCTCTTTGAAATTCCTCCTCACAGACTCGTTCCTGGCCGTAATTCGATTCTGTCGTGGGTTAAATCATTTCGGGTGTGTGGAAGTGTCGCTAAACCCAGAAATGGACTTCAACGGACCATCAGAACCCCGGAAAATATCGAAAGAGTGAGGCAGTCAGTTGTGCGTTCTCCCCGACGTTCGGCTCGCAAACACGCAGCTGCTATGGGAATTTCTGACACCACTGTTCGACGAATTCTGCATGAAGACCTTCAATTTCATCCCTACAAACTGGCTGTTGTGCAAGAATTAACTGAGCGCGATTTTGTTGCCCGTCAAAATGCATGTGATCAGCATACTTTGCCTTATCCCATGAAAAACATTAAAGAAAAACTTAAGACAGATTTTTTAGAACATTTTGTTTTTAAAGCAACCATTTCATGAAAAATTATCAAAAATTACTTACATTTTTTTAAAATTGTGCTTAATCTTATTTAAAGATATAATTTTTGAAGAAAAGATTTCACCAAGAAAAAATATTTAATTTCCGTATTGTAGTCGTACGTAGGTAGATGTTCAAAGCAATTTGAACTTTTGCAATTTTTGAAAATTGAAAGAACTTGGCGAACAACAGACTTGCACCATTTTTATAAGCATACTTCGGTCTATCCAAGAAAAAAATAATCTAAAACTTTGAAACCATTTTTGATAAAATTCTGAAAATTTTTCAGATGCAAGAAAACTAACCATGCCCTAAATCAAAATATGTTTTATTTTTAAGGAATATATCATTGGTTTCCCTTATTTAATTTGTGTATTATTTTGGTTTCATTTCACTTAATGATGTTTTATGAATTTCCTTATTTCAATATTCAAAATTAGATTGTTACAAAAATTTGTAATTTTTTTAGATATGCTTCTTGAAATAGACCCCAAAAAGAGTTTCGAAATGATAAATAAAAGAAATATTGAAAAATAGTATTTATATGACTGGAAAAAGTTCAGAATATTTTTATCATTTATGTGTTTCATATTCAAGGGGTCATGACATCAGCAAAGTTGATAGGAAATCTAGTGAAAATCCTGCCTACAGCTTCGCCGCTTGCGTTGTTCAGAAATACAGATGTTTTCTTGAAAACCAATTTTTCAGTATCAAGAACCCACCCTACATGAATTATGAGTACACAATGTATTGGAGGAAGTAATTTTTCTATTGAAAAATCGCTTGTTTTCACAAAAGCATTTCAATAATTTCTCTTTACTACATAAGTAGTCAGTGAGAAAGTAAAGATAAGTTCTTCAAAAGCTCCAAAACCAATAATTTCCGCCAAAGAAGAAAAATATATGAAAATAGAAAATAGAGAAATAAGGGAAGACTCGAAACAACCTTCAGTGATCCCTGCAGTATTATATGAGGGTTGGCCAGAAAGTAATGCCCCACATTTTCCCTGTCATGCAATAATAATGGTAGACAGTTGTAGTTGTTATTCCTTCAAAGTTACCAATACTCCAAAGAAGCATTTCCCGCAACTATAATCCCAGTACCAAGTGTGCGTTGTGCACCAAGCTTGCTCTTGCACAAAAAAACGTACATCTACACGCAAATGTTGCAACAACAGAAGCTCTGACAAAAATTGACTGTGCTTCCCCATCCACCATTCAGTCCATATTTAGCTCCCTCATATTTCCATCCCTTTGAGCCACTGAAAAGCGCTATTTGTGGAGAAAAAATTGAAGATGACTTGAAATGAGGAATGGCAACGCCGGCAGGAAAAGACTTGGTCCTGGCAAGGCATGCACCTTGTTTCATGCTGGTGCCAGGCTGTATGAGTCGATAAAAATTATGTGGAAAAATAGAGCCAGTTGAGTAACCATGTAATAATATCGTGCAAATTTCATGTTCCTCAAATAAATATTTTTGAAGGAAAAAGTGAGGGGCTTAACTTTCTGAATGACCCTCGTATTTCTGTTCTGGGGTTCATTATCTGAATTTGAGTTTGCAAGGTTTGTCTTTCATGCATCAAATAAAAGGAAGGCTAAATTAAAATAAACTAATATGACTATTTTGAAATGATACTCAAATGGTAAAATAAATTAAACATTTAATTGATGTTTTGATTGTCTCTCTCTGTGAAAATCCCTTCTAAAGCACCTTCTTGATATTGAAAATTGATTATTTGTAATGAATAATCAAGGGATTTATAAAGAAAATCAGAATTTTTTTATTTATAATTTTTTAGTTTTTAGTTTTAAAACTATTTTAGAATAAGGTCATTGTACAAAACCTTTGTGTATGAAATGCTTAACATTGATCAAGTAAGGGCGAAGGCATTAGATAAGTTCTGTTGTCAATTGTTTCAATACCTTGTTTGTTTTGCAGGATTTTCAACATTCCAGGATGTGACCTATCCTTTGCTAACACAGACTGTTCTCACTGATGGTCAATATTGGTCTTTTTATGTGTATCAATTGAATACAATGTTGTTGCACTCAAATCATGCTACTGAGAACCAAAAGTGCAATTTATGCTGGGGAACTAAAAAGTTAAAGCTCTTCGATAAAATTGAGAATGGTAAAGTTGTGGGTGAGTATTAAATTCAACCTTCAACCATCGTATGTCGTAAAATAAGAGTCTTCAGAAACCAATGTGTATTATGTATCTGTAAGATTGTTTGGTATTGACTCGCTCATATGGTATTCCTGTGTAGAATAGGTGTGGTTTTTGACTTTGCTGTAACTGTCTTCAACATTTATGAAATAATTTCCTGTCACTATCTAATCAAGATACATTATCCAAAGCACATTGCCCAATAAAATGAGTTTTGAGGAATTAACTGATAATTAATCACTGTTTTGGCCATTACAACTCAAGATATTTTATCCCGAAAATGCACATGCAGTTTTGAAAATTTTATTTATGATGGAAGAATTAAATATTGAAAATTACAGGCAACAAAGAACTTTGAATGACGAGAACTTTGCTTTAAGAAACAGAAAGTGATCAGGGGTACTTTGAAAACCTTTCTTCAAAATTTGGACAACATGGACCTATCCGGACATTTTCAAAATGTTCTCAAAAACGGCTCCACACTTTTTCTTTAAATTTCTTGTAAGAATAGACTAAAATACACTTATAATGGTAGCATAGGTCCATTTTTAAGGTTTACTCTGAATTTTCGAAAATTGGAAAAGTTTGAATTTTTTTGCAGCTTCCTACTACTACAAAATTGTAGATAGAGGTTTTTCCTTCAAATAAAATTTGTTGTCCTTAATTAGTTTTTATGTTATGGTCATGTAAATCTTTTAGAAACTTTCACTAGTTTTGGTGCAATATCGCGTGCAATATTTGTAATATTAAAAAATTACAAATAAAAAAATGTTATTCTCTAAAATAGCTCCAAATTTTGTTCTCTTAACTTTTGATAGGGATACTTATAAAAGCACTCTATATGATGACATAAATGCTATGTTGCTCTATTCTTTTGTTTTTTCAAAAATTATAAAAATTTTGTTTTTTTACTTGTCTCTGACGTTGATATTTACATTGGCGATAATTTGTTTACATTAATGTATTTATGAGTACATATTCTTTTAACAATGTCATATATAGTTTCCCAGAAAAAAAAATTTTTTCTGTGAAAATTGGTTTTAAAAAAAATCCATATTTTTGGAAACACTCAAAAACCATTTTCTCAAAAACAGCTTCAAATTTTTCCTTCAAACTTTTCCAACCGATAGTGCTAATTGCACCGATTAAGATGACATAAAATTAATTTTGCTGTATTATATTGGCTTTTTAAAAAATTACACAAATGTAATTTTTCTTAAATGTCTTTCACACATGTAATATGCAGATTTTCAGCAATTTATAGACACTATTGCATTTGGAAGTGCTTGAAATGACTACTTATAAATTTTTTCGAAAACTCAATAGTTTTCTGTGAAGAGGTTCAAGTTTCTCATTTTCAGTAGTGCTTAAATTCCACTTTCTTAAAAAAGTACTCCAAATGGTTTTGCCATTTAGGGCGAGGATTTACTGTTCTTCAATTTTTTTCAAAATATTTCCATTCTACTATTAGGAAACCGTAAAATGAAGAAAATTTTAAAATACATGCTTTTGGCAGCGAAATACGGCAGCTGGCAAGAGTATGTGATATGTCCAACTATAGTTGGATGGGTTACAACGGTATGTGATATGTCCAAAATAGCTAGCCGAGACCAAAGGAAATAAAAAAATTAACACAGGAAAGTCTATTCCATTCTGTAGCACCACTAGTTTATAAAGTGTAATTACATAAAAAACACAATACATACACTTATTATTTATTCATTCATTCTCTCACTCGTTAATCTGTATGTATACATACATTCACGTACTGAGAAAGGGAGAGAGAGACTTATGCTTGGAGGATATATTGGCAATTTATAAGAAACAATCGAAACAAGACCAGGAAAGAGTGCTACTGCTGGAGAAGAAATTACTTACAGATTTAATGAAAAAAAAAAAAAAAACAACAACAACAATAATTTGCAGATTATAACATAAAAACCTATTACTGCAACACACATTGGATAGTTTGGAAACAATGCCCTTAAATCAGTGTTTGTGGCCCAAAGAGGCAGAATTTTTGGGGAACAAATGAATTTTGTGAGAACATAAGCTTTGAGGGATGTATGTGGGAAATAAAGGTAAACGGGTGAGGTACATATATTGTTTCTTAAACAGTACAAAGAGATCATTTTGAGATTTTATTCTTTTAATTTCTTTCAGTCTTCAGCATGAGTGGTCAGAAAAGTGCAAAAAAGCAAAATCTGTGTATAATTGATTTTAAGGAAAAATACTGAAATATTAAAATAAAATTAAAGGGACCATTTAACTTTGTGTAATTTAATCTCAATGTTTAGCAGTATTAGATTGTTTACTCATACATTCTCTTCTATATCCAAGTATTGCAGCAATATGTTATTAGTCTTTGGCTAGTTATGGAGGTTTCCTTTGTTTCAGGTTTTAATGAAGAAGTTCTGAAGATACTTCTGTATTTTTATCTAAATGTGCCTCACGTGCGGTCTGGAGTGGAACTAAAACCATACTTGGGTGTCAATAATAGGTATATAGCTGATATCCCAGAAAAAGATAAGCGTGTTTGGTTGGAAAAACACTTCAAACATATGTACTCAAATCGGCCTAGGAAGCTATTAGCTGATGAACTTTATCATTGGGAGAAAATCTATAAAGTTGATCATAAAACTCGCCCACAAGAACCAAGAAGAAGGCCGTTTGAATTGGGACAGTTTCCACTAGAAAGAAGATATGATGACCATACACCAGCATATGTTCGAAAGTCAGAAAGGACAGTGAAATGGAAAAAGTTTGAAAAAACGTATTATCCATAGGAAATGTTTTGTTTGTTTTTTTTTTGGCCTCCAAAGCAAAAGTTAAATTAATTTTATGTGAAACACTGAATCACAGAAGCTAGTAATTATTCAGAAAGTACTGATATATGGAAGTCATAAGAGTTAACATTAATTTAGAATGAAGTAGTAAATAAATGAATTTGTCAAGTTGAAGATGGTGAATATGAAGTTATGTTGATTTGAATAATGTTAAGAGTTATGTGAATACGAACTTCGTTCCTCTTGAAGGCCAAAAAATAATTACTTTTCCTTCGAGATATATTTCCTTCGTTATTAATGTCATTGTATTGATATGCAACCTAGTAAATTGATTTTGAGTTATGTAAAATACAGTACCACTAGTGTTGTGATAGCATTGTGTTAGACAAGCCGTACAGTTTTCAATAAAATCTAGAATTCTATGAATGGGTTAGTGTTGTTGGTCATTTCATTTGAAAAACTCCTAGTTTGCAAATGTTCTAAAACTTTATTGTTCCTTCATCAGGGCTTGCTACAGTTGAATATTGCAGAGCATAATACAAATCATCCAACATATGGCATCAAGGACACCTGCATAAAAACACCTCCAGTCTTTGGCTCTGTTTTCCAGAGGGTGGAGGTGCTTTCATGCAGATGTTTTTCATGCCAGGTGTTGGATGATTTATTTATATTATGTTCTTCAATATTCAACCTTAGCAAGCCCTTATGAGGGAATAATAAAGTTCCGAAACAGTGGTAAACTAGGAGTTTTTTCAATGAAATGACCAACCATTAACTATTCCTGGAATTAATAGCATGGTCATAAATTCAAGAGCTAAATCTTGAATATTTTACTAACTTAAAAAACTGTAAATTACTGCATTCATGAATGCTGAACATTTTATGGTCTGTAATTCTCTGGAATTCCATGTTTTCAAAACGTAGGATGTCAAGTTGGAAGGGATGTTAATAACCTATTTCTTATGTCAGGAAACAGGTGATAGAAAAAAAATGGTTTGCTAAGAAGAATATGTGTTTCTGGGGCAGTGTCTCCCAGAGTGGCCTTCGCTCAAATGATAACAATTTTCCAAAAATAAGTAAACAAGATTTTGGTCAAAAACAACTTCATTTTTTCTCTTGAAGGTGTTTCAATGAATGGAGTGCAATGTCCGTAACTTTAGATTTTTCAAAAATTACCCTTATGTAATTCCACACACACTCATTTTTGGAGCTGATGTTTCTATTTTCATAATATTTATTTTTTTGGATGTACTATTCTTAAAAATAATTTGTAGTTTTATTTGAAATATAAATAAAATGTTATTACATAAGATGTAAGTCTTTAGAAATACAAATTGTCTATACTGATCAGCATTGGGAAGAAAGTAAGTGAATATGTATTCCTTGTTATAAATAGCTCACAATTTACAAAAATACAAAATCTTCCCTAATGCAAGAGCAAAGTGTAGGATAATCCAAGTTATATCACCTGGGGTTGTATAATCAAATTGGACATGGTTTGTAAACTGATTTAAAGATTACATCTACTAACCAGCGGTGTCGCCCCCGAGGTGCGTCCTGTGTGAGAAACGTGCATTTGTAGTGAAAATCCTTTGTTCTTTTACGACCAGAGTCGACCCCCGAAGAAACTTGTTAATTTTCGCTCACTTAGGCCTGACAGAGCTCCCTTCGAGGAAGCGGAGCTGCTGCACGGCGCCGCACCCTCCCTGCCCACATGTTGCCGGATTCGCTGCGTTGTCCAGAAGAGGCGATGTGCGCTGTCACGCGTATATGACTGCGCGCCCGGACATTCGCGAGTCGACACCGCCCTCGCTCTGTTTGAGCGTCTCCGAGGACGTGTGCTCTCAAATTCACGTTTACATCCTGCTAATTGTCGTGGAATTTATCCTAATGTGCTCAGAGCTGGCCTACTTGGGTCCAGTAACGACGCACGAAGGAGACGTCAATCACACCCATTCAATAGGCACAGTGACACGCGCCCGGTACCACCGCCCCTTCGACCGCCTGCGTCCCACGAGGACGCCCTGTGGAAACGCCTTTTAACACAGCAGTAACACCCGTAAAAATTATCCAAACAAAGAGCAAACGTTAACCTTATTCGAGACCGGGTTTGTGAGAAAGATCAAAGAAAGGGAGGTTTGTTCGATCTTTCGCACCATAAAGTTAGAGGAAGCTTCGAGAAGCTTGCCCGCGTGACATCGGCGCCAGCGAATGGATCATCTCGACGCCGTTGCGAATCGCTCGCCTCAAAATTATTGCGTTCTCATTGAGCGGGAAACGAGAAGACGGCCTCGGCCCGAGATTTCGCACGGGAAACGCAGGCTTTGAGGAAGGAGCGCTTCGCAGGGAGTGACACGATCTTGACTTCAATCTGACTACTACAATTTCATCTCTGAATTGCGACACTTCGAGACAAAATTCCGTGAATTCAACTTTAATTTCATCTCTATAGAGCGTCCAAGCATCTGTTTGCAGTACAGCGCTTATAGAGAATAGCGTTGCTACGTCTCAGCCAACGCTTGCTTACTCGCGACACTCGCCGTGCTGGTTACTCGGATTAACATGACATATTTTGCCCGCTTGTTCAGAATCTTTCAAAATCCATAAAAATTGATTTTTAAGTGCTATGAAGCATTGCAAGTACACCAGTATTATTTTAGCGCACCCGTTGAAGAGTGAGTGCTCAGAGCTGCCGGAAGAGTTCATTCCTCAAACTTCTCGGTTTAGGTGGGAGCGCGTCCACTCCCCACAACGTGCTGCCCTTTTTAAAATTGTTTTTAATGTATACATATTTTTATTTCTTGCCAAAATTAGGCTGGCGAACTAAATGTTAGTTCATGAAATTTACTCCTACGTGACATCTAGTTCTCCTTACAATTTAATTTATTACAATTAACTAAATAATTTTCTTTTGATAATAAAACAATATAGTTTCATCTTAATTTCTTTTTTCTCCATTATCGTATCATATTAATATTGGCTAAACACACACCCCACCACTTGGCATTTGTAATATGTGTCATCCCCAGCACAGATAGATGGACAGGTCTACTATCAACAAAACATTAAATCATTTAGATTTAATTTAGTGTGTATAAGGTTTTAACTTGTTCGAAAGCTGTACTTAAATGTAGTGCATTGCAATAAAGGATATCTGCAGTTCTAGCAGAGTAACAATATAACAGAAAATATACATCATAACATAACATAAATAATATATAAGAATATAATTAACAAACAATATGACAGAAAACAAATATAATGTATATAATAAATAGTGCTAAAAAATTGGATTACCTCGTGCATTAAAGGGTGTTACTGGTAATCCAATTATTAGCATAAAGTTAACATTAAGCCTAATCCAGGAAAACATAGAGTTCAAGAACTGTCAATCCGTGTATAGAAGATATTGGTTTATGTGTGTGACCGGTAGTGTGTTACATTCATGTACATAATTTAGCAGCTGCTGTCCCCCGGAAGAGATAAGACTATGAACACCACACTGGAGTCCATTATTCTATACATAATCTTGTTAAACCTTTACACTCCCATTACATAGAGTATTTGTTACAACATATATACATGCACTTATATATTTATACAATTTTACATTTATTTCAATATACCCTAATATGTATGGATACTTATAAGAATATATTATATACAATATTACATTTATTACCTATTCTGTTCATTCACTGTAGATACATGCACGCCAACTTCTCTACAAGTTTACATTAATTACAATATACCCTGCATGCATGGACATTTATTACAATAAATTATATATAATATGCAATTTTACATTTATTACCTATTCTGATCATTTAGGATTGATACAATCATGCTTGCCAACTTTTCTAAATCTAGGTAATACCTTTTTATAGATAGCAGATTGGACACGGCCCTCATACTAATTTCCACTGCACTTCAATTAAGTATCTTATTCTCGGCCATCGTGGGCACTCAGGGCAAGTGGATGACTGTCTCCTCTTCTCTGCTCTGCAATCGCAGGTGGGAGGGTCAACTAAACCTAAGGTAAATAGCTTAGCATTGAACGGCCCGTGGTCACTAATCATTTAAGCTAGCGCTCTTGATGGGTTGAAATGTCTGAACTCACGTTTAAAAGAAACAGGTGGAAGAGAAAATCATTCCTTCCTGTGCTGCCACGCCGCCATCATGGTTCTGAGATCTCGCTTCCATCCAGAAAGTATCTATACATATTATTTCTTATGTATCTTCTCTGCTGCAAGTTGCACCACCAGGTCCATGGGCAACTCTCTCGCAAGCATCTGGACGACTGACGTCGCCATGGCTCTGTAAGTCCCCGTGATTGTTAATAGTGCCGCTCTCTGGGCTTTGATCATTTCTCTACTTATAAGGACTCTGGCACTTTCTCTCACCCCTGCCGAGGCACAGTAAGTGACAATAGGGATAAATGATCCGTAGTAAATAATGTTTAAAGATCTGTTGTATATGCCCTGGAATCCGGCAATTCACATAAGTATCATGAACAAAGATTTTGCTTTGCTGCATACCTGCAACATGCGCTATTAATTTCCATTGTGCATCAATATTCATACTTAAATATGTTTGTAGTTACGTAACTTTGGTAAAGAACAGTAGGGGATCTGTCCTTTGGTGGGTGTTTTCTTCCAGGTCCAGTCTTGATAAGATAGTCGTCATCATAATGAAACTAGTTTTCTCCACTGAGATCTCTAATTAGGCTTCTTCGCTCCATTCTGACACTAATTGTAAGAGCCAGTTAACGTTTTCTTCAGCGTCGGAACGTGTGCGTCTGCGGGCGACCAGGACAAGGTCGTCTGCATATACCATCACTTCTGCTTCATTTTGTTCCTAGTTGCATAGCAACTTCTCAACGATGATATTCCAAAACGTCAGGCCTGAGTTTGAACCTTGGGAAATCCTCTCGTTAACTCGTGTTCAACCGTCATTCCAGATTCACTTATTACAGCATTTCGCCATCAAAAGAAACTTTGATAAAGTTCGTATAAATTTTTAGGAATTTGCCACTTCGTACGAAGTTATGGCCACTAAGCGTTATCGAAAGCTCCTTTGATATCGAGAAAGATAGCCTGGGTATATTTGAGTCCAACATCATTCCTCAACCTTTCAGGAATTTGTTCACAGCATCCTCGTTGCTGTCTTTACCATCATGTTTAGCTCAGATTTTGAAACCGATATTTTAATTTTACGGGATTTTTTACGTGAAGTCCTTCAGATATTTTCAAAAAACCGCTCTAATTTTTTATTAAATTTATTTGTTTAATAGTGCGAAAGATGTTTAAGGGAATGGTGCAGGTTACATTTGCGGTAATATCCCCGATTTTTCAAAAAATGTAAAAAAAGAAATTATAACTACAAAATTGATGATAGAGGTTTTCTCCACATATGTAATAAGGGACGATAAGAAACATGGCGCTGGAGATATTTTCAGATATTGCTCTTTTTTTTCGAAAATTGCAAAAGAATTTCAAAACTACAAAATTGAAGATATTGACTAACTTTTGCGACAAGCCTCATGCTTTTCACGGCTGCTTTGATTTTGTCACCCGAAAAACTTCTTTTTTTTCTTCATATTTTCTCATTTACTTGGTTTCGTAATGCTAGAACAGAAACCAACATGCATTTATTACTATTAAAACAAATTTTCACAACTTTTATTGTGTTTGTAGAACGTATTAATTATCAAATCAATTGTCTTTCGGTGCTTATGACTATTATAGAAGTGACAATTCTCTGTGTAATCCGGGTGGCCGAAGTGGTTAAATGTTGAGTTCGGTCTCAGCGTTTCGTGGAGAACGGCCGCTGGCTCGGGGATCATTATTTGACTCAACTCTCTATTGCTTTTAACCTGCAAAAATTATTTACCGCACCGAGTTGCAATCTTTTCCTGCCTAAAGGACATTTATTTTACATTTTGTTGATTTTTCCGCTGACTAATACTGCAACTGAAACACGAAGCTCTCAAGAGTAGTATAGGAGTGCCTAACCCTTGTACGGCCCAGGTGGGAGAGGTTGGTTAAATAATGTGTATTGACTCAGTGCTTCGGAGGCAAAGTCTGTTAGAGCCTCGTTGAGATGTTTTTCGTCCCAATTCCGTGAAACCGAACAAAACTATTACAGAAATACAAATTATTAAAACTTAATTTAAAATTACTTCTACTAACAAATACAATCAATTAAGATAAATAAATTTGAAGTCTGTATGTGATTTTTGAATTTGCAACTTTTAACCCCCTTGTCTTTCACATTTTCTCAGCTCCGTAATGCGAGAACTGAAACAGTTGTGTTTTGAGTAATATGGAAGAGGGGCAATCTTGTTCTCCTGGATGGCTGAGGTTGTTAAGTGTCATGTTCGGGTTCATCACTTGAAACCAAGAGGTCGTCGATTCGAGTCCCACCCGGGGATTGTAATTCGATGAAAGTTTGTAGAAAACTATGAGGAATTCGAGAAACTTTATTCAAAATCATTTGAAGTCCACAAATGCAATCATTACATTTACAAATAAACCGGACGTCTCTGTACGTGCATTTTCGATTTATAACTTTTAAACATTTTTTCAACTTCCTTTTGCGATTTGTAAAACGTATGTCACGTCAAATCAATTGTTGAGTTTCTGTGCATCTGGACCGATTTATGTAAACTAATGAATCTATCGACCAGAAATTTAAATACATTATGAACACTAGCTATGCGACTACTTGAGATATTCCTAACGGTTCAGAAATTATTATTATTTTCTCGCCTTATAAATTCTTCGTAAAAAGAGAAAGTTATGTAATCGTGCACCAGAAAACTCCGAAATTTCCCCAGAGCAAACCTCATTGTCGGGTTCTGGTAATGAAAAAGTTAATAAATTATATTTATAAATATAGGGGGGAATCTCTAACTAGTTCCATCTTTTGTTCTTCTTGAGGCCAAAAAATCGATTGACGGAAAAATGTCCGTCTGTGGTTCACGCTGGCGCCTAAACCGTTCACCTGATTTTCTTCAAAATTGATATTACCTGATTGATCTTAACAGAGTGGAGGCTTTGGGAGTTTCTAATGGATATTTTTATTGTTGAAGGTTTTTTTATTATATCCACCTTTTTACATTACAAGTTTTTTTAAACATTAATTGGGCATTTACCTTCATATACCTTTGTCAGAGTTCGGACCATTCGGCGCTTCTGTGACCTAGTGATATGTGTGCGGGCACGTTAACTTTGAGGATCTCAGTTAGTCTCGCAGCGGAAAAATATTTAGCTGCTTGACAACACTTAGCTGGTAATTGTTGAAATATACAAACAATAAAATGCAAATGTTTAAAGTTGGTACCGATGATACTCTTTTGCTTTTTGTTATGTTTTATAACCTACACGTTCCCTACTCTGAAACTACACTTTATTAAAAAAGTACCCTAATAAAGGCTATTACACTTTACAACAAACAAGGCAATGATATCAAAGACATAAACACAATTCATACATTTAAAAGTAAATTGAAAGCTTTCCTGCTTAACAACATGTTCTACAGTGTAAAGGACTTTTCAAATTACAACATTTCCCTTAAAAAATATAAATAAATAAGAATTTCTTATTCCATTAGACTTTCTGTTCACGTGAACTGTTTCAAGCTGAAGCAAAGAAAAAAAGAACTGCATATCACATCCTGTGAAATAGAAGGAGAATAGAAGAAGAAAAAAACTGGTCAAAACTTTCCTCCTCACCATTTCAAGTTATAAATATAGAATGTACTACTATTGTTAAATTTGATGTAGTTGCAAACATAATTGATATGTATTATTAATGTAATTATTATTAATATAATTATTATAAATAGTAGCATTAAAATATATTGAAATGTTAATTATTAACAGATAATTTATCTACTGTATAATATCTTAATCTAACTGTAACAAGTATTGTATTTCTAGGCCAATGACCTCATCTCAATCAGGTTTTGTTGTTTCCCTGGTCCTTTGAGCAAATGCTGAGATGGCCCCTTGTTTGCTCCTGAACAGTAATATAACTCCGCTCTCTCCACCCAAGGCATCATATTGACTCGTCATACACGATTGTAATTGTATATGTGACTCAATAAATATTATTATTATTATTATGTTGGTACTAGCAAGCAATAAAATAATACACAGCTTTTTCGTTGTGTGTAAAACGTGTTAAAAAGCAGTGTTGTCTTTATAATTGATATTGTTGATATTGTGCAACCAGATAATAGAAAACCTAAATTTCAAAACAGGTTACGGGCCCAGACAGTACCAAATGATACTTGTAATACTGTTTAAAATATTCTACAAAATATATTAAGAAACGAATATAAAGAATTGGCTACAAGTGGTTCGAGAACGAGAATCATGGCGTGTGAAGATACTGATTTGAACAATTGCAAAACTGAAGAACTCCGACTCCTTCCGTCTTTGAGATACAGATTTTTTGCAAAGCAAAATAGGTTTTTAAAAACTGCTTAATATTTTTCAAAGAAAATTGCGCTTTACTGATTAAAACTCTAATATTTTTAAAATAATATTTACGTTCCACTATTATAAAACCGAGTAATTACGTTTGTTTTTAAAAAAAATGTACTTTGGTCGGCGATAGATGGCAGCTGGGAAGAGTATGTGGCACGCCCG